TGAGCAAAGAGTGTTGGCGAGCTTTGGCTTGGCCTCTTGAATGCAAGCGAGCTTGACTTGTGCTGGCAAGTCAAGCAAACAAGCGAGCTTTGGCTTGGCCTCTTGAATGCAGGCGAGCTTTTCTTGCTTTGAGCACGTAGGCGAACTCAAATAGGCAAGGTTTGAGCTCTCTTGTGTAAAGGTAATTTTTATTGCCTACAAAACCCCCTTCAAAGTTTTTAGACCTAAATTAGGTTGCATGTGGTCTGGATCACTTTGAATGAAGAGGATCACTGTTCATTGGTTTAGACGAATTTGAGCCCCTTGGTTGAGTTGAGCTCTTTAGGCAGGCTCGATGAAGTGTAGGCGAGCTCAAGTTTTTAGGCAAGCTCAAGCCATTGGCAGGCAAGCTTTAAACATCACCAGGCGAGCTTCGTGCTTGCAGGCGAGTTAGATGGATGTAGGCGGGGTCCAAGTCAGTGGCGGATGAGGTGTCTGCGGGCGGTTTCTTACGCTCGCCAGCTAAGGGGGCGCATTGTCTTCACGTGCTCGATCTGAGTTGTTTATTTGGTGGCGCTCTTGATCTCAACCATCAATTCGATGAGAGATCGTGGTAGTTCTGTTGAACTGCTTCATCTTGGCTATTCGTTTTGAAATTCTGAACGTCCCGCCATGCTCGTGGTTGTTCGATTCGAACTGCTGAATCGAATCGTTGCAGATGATCTGAGCCGCTCGTTTTGACTGAGCTGACAAATCTTAGCTGAGATTCGCCTATATGAAGCACTCGTCTCCCTCGTCGGGAGGTTACTGTTATTAGCCTTTATGTTTTGATGATGATTTACAACCACCATTATTAGTACCAATTACTTATTGAGTGATATTATAGATTACAAGAATATCAAGTTTATTAGTACCTATAAGTTGGAGGATTGGATGGAACAACAAGCTACAAGATGATATCTAAGGAGGTAGAGGCAAAGTGATGAAGCAAAGTTTTCAAAGAGCACAAAATACAAGATAAGCTTCATCAATATAGAAGCAAATATTAAGACTCAGCTATGTACTTATATGTGAGTGATATTTGCATTTTTACTTCTCTCTAGTGCTTAATGTAGGCAAGTAGTTTGATAGATTATATTTGAAGTTCTCGGGATAACACACTCACACATTTTCAAAACTCGTATTTTAACATTTTTACTAAACGTTGAGTTTTCACAAATACGAGGTCATTTTTGCAAAATTCCTTTTCAAACAAGTTTGTTATTATATTTAAAAACTTTTCCCAAAGTTTTACATTTTAAAGAATTTATTTACTAATTTTAAATGCCTTGGAAACTCGTTTTCAAAAATCTGAAAAGGCTAAAAATCTGTTATTAGTCGACTGATGCAAAGGTTCAGTCAAATGATGAAACTAGCCAGAATCATCAAAAGTTTCTGTTTCAACGATTGACGTTCTATCAGTCAACTGATGACCCCTTTAGTTGACTGATTAGATCTTCAGTCGACCGACGAGCTGCAAATCGCCTACAACGATAAGCTCATCAGTCGACTGATGAACCTCGTCAGTCGACTGATAAGCTTCCAACGGCTAGTTTTGTACAGTTTCCAAAATTCTTGATTTTTGAACATTTTTGTCTGTTTCTTTGGGGTTTGGCTTTTCTCTTGAATGCTTATAAATACCCACCAACCCTGTTCACTTTAGTAAAAAAAGCAAGCATTTAAAATCTCTTGAGTTTGTTGGTTATTGTTCAAAAGAGCTTCAACTTTCATTTGCTTTCTCACTTACAAACTCCACTGTAAAACCCAAAAAAATTCATGTTAATATAATTAATATGAGATTAATTATGATTTATGAATATTTATTTTGATAAATATAGTTAAATGGTCTATGAGTATGATACCATGTATTTTGAGTATGAACGAGTTCACATATGAGAAAGAAAAGAGTCGAAACATGCACAACGGTCAAAAACATGAAAAACTGGAAAATTCCAGTCTGGTCGACCGCCACGGTCGATCGCCGTTGGTCGACCGCGAAACCTGCTAAGACTTGTTTCCTGTTTTGAGTTGGTTTCATTTTTCTAAAGCCCATATCCGTTTCCTGGTATATATATATATATATCATATTTTCACGATATTTTCAGTTTTCTAAGGACCCTAACAGCCACCAAAACCTCTTTAAACCCTATTTTGATTCTTGAAGAAGTTTGGAGGCTTTCAAGTGGATTTTTCGCGGGATTTTTGGCGTTTGGCTTGTAGATCTTCTTTGGCTTGGTTTCTTAAGCGTTTTTCTATAAACCCCAAGCGAGTTCATCTCTGCTAATCCCCCTCCTACTTTTTAAAACGTTTTTAAAGAGTTTTTAACATGTTTATTAGAGCCAAATTGACTAGTTTATGTATAAAAGTCAATTATTTATATTATATGTATAAAGACTAGGTCTTTCCATATTAAAAAGTTTGAGAACGATTTTTACAGAAGTAATTAAGATCTGAAAATGATTTAAAAGTAGTTTAAATCTGATGAAAGATGATTTGTGCTTTATTTCAAGTTCATGTGCAAGAATTAGGGTTTTTGATATGAATTTTATGCAAATAACTATGCTATATATGTTAGATTTGTTCCCAGAAGTTTTTATCTGCTGCAGACATGTTTTCATGCAAGTTT